GCCAGAAAGCTCCACCGGAAACCCAGCAGCTACTCACCTCTAACGACATCGGCTCCCTCCTCTTCGTGCATGGTAAGTCGGATAATCCCCCTGGATATCCGCTCAGGTAAATTGGCTTGAAACACCCCAGGTGCACCGGGTGCCTCCGGATTTTGTTTACTTTACTCCCCCTTTCCCCGCGCGGCTGTCAGTTGATTTTATCTCGACCACCATCACCTCAGGTATGTCGGATGAATCTCTCCTTTGCATGTGTTGATCTGTCTGTCGCATGTTCAGATCCGTGATTGGTTTGTGTTCTTGACTGTCTCTCTGTGTGTTTGGGGTAGTGGGTTGGGGCTGGTTTATTTTGTAATTGCACCTTTCTGTGTTCAGTAAGTTTGTTCTTTCTGGGTGTTGTTTCTCGTTTCTCAGTTGTCTGTCTGTCCACGGATAACCTGGGTGATTCTCCCTGATTAGTGAAGGCGCGTGGTGTTAGCGCTAGGGGATACCCTGCCAGCCACCAGAGTGGCCTCGGAACTGCGTGGTCCTCTAGTCCGCTGCCTGACCTACTCTAAGGTTTTCACTTGATTTGTGTGTGTGGCATTTCTTAGGTTTCTGTGTCTTTTTCCATGGCTGCTAATCAATATGGAATGTTGCCATTTAATGAGAAAATCGATTTTGATATCTGGAAGCAAAAGATTAAATGTGTTTTAATTCAACAAAAAGTTTTCAGAGCTGTCACTGACAAGTTTTTAGAAACTGAAAATGAGGCTAAACAACTTGAAATGAATGAAACTGCCTGTTCAACAATTTACTTAAATCTTTTTGACTCTGTGTTAAGGAAAGTTGGTATACTTGACTCTGCAAAAGATTTGTGGGAAAAACTTGATAGTCTGTATACTGATACCTCCTTACCAGGCAAACTATTTTTACTTGAAAATTTTTTCTGGTTCAAGCTTGACCTTACTAAGGATTTAGATGAAAATTTGGACATCTTTAACAAACTTGTTCAAAACATCAAACAGGCTGGTGACAAGCATATTGATGACTACACCCCAATTATTTTGCTCAATGCTATTCCTGATTCTTATAGTGATGTCAAATCTGCCATCAAGTATGGTAGAGATGATGTTACTTTAGATATTGTGGTTAATGGCTTAAAAAGTAAAGAACTTGATTTGAAACAAAATAGGGGTCATGGCAATAAGTCTGGTGATTCTTGGGCAACCAGCGATGATGAGTCTTTTCCATGCCACATTTTTGCTCTACACCACATAGGACCAATAAGGTGGAGAATGTGAGAGGTATTGGCCCTATGGACCTTGGCCTTCTTCTCTAATTTACCCGGGACTTGGGCCTTTACCATTTGGTTACCACCCAGCCCATTTACCTCCTTGTTTGATCCATCCCTTGTGTTCGGCCCCTTTACTCCTTGTGACCTACTTACCTTGTTCGGCTTTCCCTGACCCGCCTATTTAATCTTTGACATGTCTCTCCGCCGGGCAGAGTGAGCCGCATATGTGTAACCCTAGTTCTAGAGCCTTCTGTTTAGAGAGAGAGAGAGGGTCTTGCTTCTCTCTAGCCTTTCTCCTTCTTCCGCTCCTCTCTTCACCTCCTTCGTGTGTGTGTGTGTGTGTGTGCTCTGAGAGTTCTAGGGTGAGGTTTGAGAGGGTAGCTGGGTTTGGGGTTTGGGTTCTTGTACCTTGGTGGTGGTTCCCGGTCCGGTAGGTTCTTTTGTGGTGGTTGTGAGTTGTTTCAGAAGGTTCTAATCCGGTAGGTATTAATCCCTAAGCCGGTCCCTTAGGGATTAATATCATTAGGGATAGGAGTAGATGCACCCTTACCCTAAACCAAGTGTCCTACCTTGAAAAGGTCCTGAGAAGGTTTAATATGTATTGTGCCATGCCTGTCAATGTGCCATTAGCCCCTCACTTTGTTCTGAGTAAGGATCAGTCACCTAAGACTCGCCCTGAAATTGATATGATGAAATATGTACCCTATTCCAATGCAATAAGGTCGGTCATGTATCTCATGGTAAACATCAGGCCTAACATTGCCTATGTTGTTAGTTGCTTAAGCAGATATATGGCCAACCTTGGGATGCCACATTGGAATACCCTGAAATGGTTGCTTAGGTACCTTAAGGGCACCAAGTCTCATGGTCTTGTGTTCTCTAAAACAGATACTGACATTCTACTTACTGCTATGTTGATTCCAATTATGCAACTGATAGGGACAATAAAAAGTCTACTTCTTCCTATATTTTTACTCTGTGTGGTTCTTGCATAAGTTAGAAATCCCAACTATAACCCATTGTTGCACTGTCCACTACTGAATCTGAATATGTGGCAGCCACTGAAGCCTTTAAGGAGGCCATTTGGCTGAAACGTATACTAACTGAAATTGGTTTTCTTAAGCAGGTTGTGACAGTTTACTCCGATAGCCAGTCCGCTTTTCAATTGTGTAAAAATCCAGTATTCCATGACAGGACCAAACACATTGATGTCAGGTTTCATTTTATAAGGAACATTGTTGATGCAGAATGGATAAAGCTGTCCAAGATAGCTTCTGAATTTAACCCTGCTGATATGGGGACTAAATGTCTCACTTTTGAAAACTGTTGTCTTGTGAACGTATTCTTAATTTAGATTGTGGCTAGATAAGAACAGACAAAACAAGAAACACCGGCGATGATGATACTCCCTTTCACAGTTGTGCTCTACACCACCAGGGGGACCAATAAGGTGGAGATTGTTGATGGTATTGGTCCACCTCATTAATTGTCTTGGTCCACCTCATTAAAGCCTTGGTCTCCTATTTATGAGTCTGGCCCATCTTTGAGCTGTCCAGCGACCAAGCCCACTCACCCTTTTTTGTTTTATACCCAGCCCGTGACTCTGTGGCCCTTTGATATATTTGTCTGGTTCTTTCTCGAACCTCCTATTTGTTTGTCTCCCCCTTCTCTCTAGCCGATGTGCTCTTCAGCATGTTGCCCTAGTCCTAGAGTGAGAGAGTGCCGGTTTCATCGTTGGTTTGAGCTCTAGCTAACCTTCGGTGAATCCTTGGGGATCCTTTTGTGGGCTTCACTCTGGTCTGGTTGTTTGGGGTCCTTCTCCGGTGGGTTTTCTAGGGTTGTCTGGTCTGGGTTGGGCTCTATATGTGAGGGTTGTTGATTGTTGCCTTTCGTCTTCCCTGTTTGCAACCATGGTGGTGAATGTCGAGTAAGCCTTTGGGTTTTTGGTGATTGAGGTCTGAGCCGGTCTGGATTCCCAACAGTTGGTTAACTATCCGAAGTCTCATTGCAAATTTCCCTTCTAAAAAAAGGATGACACCCCATCCCTGAGGGCCCCCAACCCCGACCGGACGGTACATTGGGAGGATGTAAATTAAACTATAATCCCAATCTGACAGATAAAGAGTGGGGTTCTGTCCCCGATACTTGCAGAGGCCCTATGCATATTTTTAGCATAGTAACCTCTCATCGTAGTTGCCAGGATTTGAAACTGGGACCTAACCCTTGTGGCACTCCCTCTCTACCAGTTGAGCTCTACGCCCACCGGTGCAAATTTCCCTTCTCATTTGCATCTCCTGTTGTAATCGCCTTGATGTGATAGCTGGACTATCATTTCATTGTACACCAGGGTTGAAAGGTAGGTTAGTTGGATGTTTTACTTGTGCTCCATCACTCTTGAATGTCCCTTTATGATTGGTGGCGCAAAATTTATAGCACCCATCTGGGATAGTTTTATACTTTGTTAGTATGGAGAGTTTTTATTTACCCCCTTTTCTATTGCGTATCTACCTGTCTAGTTGTTTAGAACTTTTAATATTTCAGAGTTTGTTTAAGTAATAAGAAGTATATTTTTATATCTTTTTTGGGTACATATATACTCATACAACTCAATTTTAGTCTACAGGGGGTTTTCGTTCGGACATGTGTTTCGAGAAGGAAATGGGCCAGCCCATGAGTTGACCAATATTAACATTGGTCAGGCTCTTTGTGTTAGATTTGACCGAGTTGGGGTCTTACCCAATTTGGTAAAAACCAGCTATTATTCTGATCCGTTTGGTATTCCGAATTTTAGATATTAATTGTTTTCCACTAATGGGTCAGGTATAGCCCCCCATTAGTTCATTTATTCCTTTGCTTTCATGTATTTTTGGGAAGGTTTTGGCCTAGTCCCCCTTTCCTTTTGCTTTGTCATCTTAATAAAATCTCGGTAAATGTCCCCCGGTATTTATCCCACTGATTTTGGTGGTTGACCTTAGCTTCCGGGGTAAAAAAAAATAGTATTTCCTGTGCAATATCATTTGGAAGGATAAACGCTACTCTCTCTCTATTAAGTTTTTCATTATTCCCTTTTTGTTATTGTTTTTTCTTGTTTGAAGCTAGTGATGCTTTTCAAAGTATGTCCATCAATTATATTACATACTCCCTTCATCCCAAATTAAGTTGTAAAATTGACTTTTTTGGGTCAAACACCTTCATTTTATTAACTTAATTATGATGTCAATTCTTAAAAATTTTGATGCAAATTTTGCAACTTTATAAAAATTTTAATGTTGTTTCTGAATATGTATATTATAAATATTAAAATTGAATTAATTATCAAGAGATAGGATTGAACTTTAACATTTCTTGACCAAAAAATATTGACTTTACAAAATAATTTGGAACGGAGGTAGTATATGTTTAAGAGATCGTGTAATGATAATTACTTTTTCTGATTTTTCTTTTAGTTAAAGCATGCAAGACAATGTTTAAACTGGCTAATTAATTGTTCTTCATATTCTTCACTTTTTAGCTCAATCTCTCCATTAGTTATAAGTTTGGATACCCCTATTATCCATCAATTAGTTTTGTATTAATTTAACTCTCATATTAGCCTCAAAAAAATATAGAATGATATATTTAAATATTTCTATTAGATTTATGCACCCGACAATAAAAAAGTCTAAGTAGAATTGTTTCGGAGTTAGAAATGGACCGAAACCAAAATACAACATATTACGGGGATGAAAAAGAAAAACAAACAAATATTTCGCAGAATCGCAATGACCTAAAACAAAGTGTGTCATATTTAAAGGGATTAAAATCATATTTAAACCATTAAATGTAGCTAGTTTAAAGTGAAGTAGTAAGGAATCATGTAGATAAATACCACGTATAATTCTTCTAATTCAGACGGGCCGGGTGGGTACAAATGAAATATGGGAATGGTATGGTGTATGGACAAAGACCGACCTAGCTAATTTAATACTGCATGCGATAGATCAAAATAGAAACCCCGGCCCGGCCAGGCCCGGCCCGACGAATGGAAAATAATGGTACGTCAAAGACATGCTATGGACAAATCGAGGTTGATTTCGGCATCTCTACTTGACCGCAAACGTTGTACTTGAGGAAGAGGAGGAGGAGGGTTCGTCGTCTCGCCGGCTTTCAAAGCCACAAAAACAATATTTCTGTCGTCAAAATATGCGTTGCAACTTTCACTCGAGGGATCGCCGCCGCCACTTTCTTCCACCTTCGTCATTTCACTCTTCTCACTTCCCTGTGATTCCTGCACGTATACCTTAGTGTTTAAATTTACAAGCACAAATAAAGGACACATTTTTCTTTGAAAATAACTACCTTATTTGTTGAGAAATAATGACTATTTAATATAATTGATCAGACTACACAACTACATACACTCTTCGCGAAAAGGGGTCAAACGAGGTTTTTTAGTATTGTGAAATACTCAATAAAATGCCATATAAATACGTCTACTTATAAAAAATAATCGCTTGAGTTCTAATGACCTGTTGACAACCACGTAAACCTGGTTTTAGCACACGTCTCACTATCTTTTAAAAATAGATTATAAGACTGACGTGAAATATTTAGCCAAGATTGACTTAAAATACAATGCAAAAATAACGATATGTACGCTAAAATTAGGATTATGAGGTCGTTAACAGGTTGTTTTGACTCATCTGCTTGATTTTTATAAGCAGATATATTTATATGATACTTTATTGAGTCATGAGCTTATATGATTATTCACTATAAAGAACTTATTTAACCATTTCCCTATGTTTCTTATTTAATTTAGGAACAAAAAAGTTTGCAAAAGCGGCATCATGGTGAGCTTTCTGCATTAATTAGTGTTGATACCGACCAAAGAAACGTGTACGTGATCGAATTCATAAGTCGTATAGTATATTACTCCGTTTATAATATGCAGTGCCCCACACCCACCCCCCACACACACACATATATATATATATATAATTATATATATATACCTGATGTTGATGATGCCCACTTGCATTAAATTGATTATTATTACTACGATTAGCAGAAAAGTAGCTGCTTCCCATTTGTTTGGCCTCATTAGTCTCACCCAAACAACCTTGCCTTAATAATCTTTCAAACGTTGTCTGCCTGCAAAAACAAAAAGCCCGGCCGATATGATCCTCTTTGTATAAGCTATATATATGCTAGCTCTACGATCATTATAATATATGGCATGATCAGTGTGAAACTGCTACACTAATGTTTGATGATGATGTGTGATCGACATTTTTTTTGGAATATATTTTGTAGTAAACTTTTAATTTTGATTAAGATATAAAACAAGTTGATGTTTTCAACATCACTATAAGTCTCTGCATCTATCATGACTTTATACATAATTAAGATTGTGCGTAGTTTGACTATGTTAAGTTTTAAGAATGAATTAAAAACAGTTTCTAATTTGATTCAATTCACATTATCAAGGACATGGTTTTTTCAAATGGTTTTTCTTAATCCGGCCCGGTTGATCTTGTTAATTCCGATACGGTTTTGTACAGTATGACTTTATATACTCCCTCCGTTTCTTAATTAAATTCCTAATTTGACTTCACACATATTAAGAAAATAAATTTACTCAGCGATACATTTTACTGTAAAGTATACTGCTGTGACACTGTTTGACATTGTTTTGGTGTAGATTTGTTTGCCAAATAAGGAAGTTTGAACTTGTTTCGGACATCCAAAAAAAGAAAGTGAGAACTTAAATACGGGACAGAGGGAGTAATATTTTGTGTAACCTTGATGGCATCGTTCTAACTCACTAAAACACCGCATACCTAAATCAGTCAACAATACCTAAATACAAGTATATCAAATAGAAATTACTCTAAATAGGAGCAAAAACGTTTTGAAATTCCAAAATAGGAGTATTATGTTTTTTATATCCTGAATAGGAGTAATCTGCCAAGTTTGAAAAAATGTCATGTTTAAAACCTAGTAATGCCAAACTTGGCAGAAATTTTCTCCTACTCAAAGTATGTCACTTGCTCTCAAAACTTACGAGGATTAGTTAGTTGATTTTTTTTTCTTGCTTTTCAAGAATTCACTAATAAGTTACGGAGTACTACGTAGCATATTTCTATACTACATGTCTACATAGATTTAGAAGTACAAGAAACAACTATGACATTAAAAAAAATCGAGCCTTTCATCTTATCTGTCTTTGAAAGGTTTGTGAGATTTCATAAAAATGGCAAAAACTTAAAGTACGAAAAATGTATTACGTATATATACTATGCATATCTAAACATTTTAAAACACAATTACTAAGCAGGGGCCAGGGAGAGGAAGAATAAATTTTTTCATAAACGTATATACGTAGTACTACGTATATGACTTCAACATAATTCTTTCTAAAAAAAGTCCATCATTTTATTTCGGAAAGTATATCGTAGACTCATATAAAAAGAATTATTTTTCATTAACTATTTAATTCCTTCTCTAAAAAACTATTTAATTCCCATCATCACAAAAAAAAGAATACTCCCATCCACGCACAAACTCATGTTTAACCCCAATTAGTTCAATTCTTTTCAAAAGAGGTGTGATTTGGTTGGTCAAACCTGCCACGTGAACAAACAGATAAATAAAAAGTAAAACACGAGTGTGTGCGGTACGTATATTACTCCTATGTAAATACTCCACCCGGTCCTAAATAAACTTCACACTTTCCATTTTGAGTAGGTCCAAAATAAACTTCACACTTCTTCTCCCTTTCTTAATTGGCAAATTATCTACATCAAAACAGTGCAAAAAAGTGCAAAATAGTGTCAAACTGTGTCACAACAGTGGACTCTACAATAAAATCAAATTTATTTCTTTAATTTGTGTGAAGTTTATTTAGGACCGGAGGGAGTATATACTAGTATGTGACAACTCCGGTATCTATTTAAAAAAATGGGATATCGTACCTATCATTCACTTGAGTGGTCCACATCATTATATCGTTTTTAATTTAGATTTAAATAATTCAACTGCAACACTCTCATTGATCCATGTGGACAAATGTACGGTACCTTATGGGTACAGAATCTACCAAATATATACTTGTATGTGGAGTATTTTTTCCTTCTTAATTAAATTCTATGATGGGACAGGACATGTGATATCGTTTCTAAAGTCATATGGTCAGGCTTCTATAACAGTGACCTCATAATTTGGTCATAGAACCGTATAATTGAACTAATTAGATTGTTATTTTGAAAGCAATTAGCTAGATTGTTTTTTAATTAATCATGACTTCATTATTAGCTAAAAGTCAGATTAGAATATGCATGCACACAAAAGTCGCGATTTCCCATCACTTTTAGGTGTTGCCATTGAAAATAGATGAATGGAATTGCCCAAAGTCAATAAGAAGGAAGAAGCTCGAATTTTAATAAATTTGTTCACATAATTAAAGGAAGATATGTATATGAGCAAATTATTAATTATTGGGTAGTTAAGCTTAATTACCCTTGTGGATTCCAAGTTGTGGAATGTGGTCTCTCTTCACGGAAGTTGCAGGTGCTTTGCGTAGGAATGAAAACATCGAAGGTGGTTCGCTCCCTCATGTTTCTATACATCTGCTTGATTAAGTATCACACATTATTATACTATTAAAAGGGAAAAATTCGAGTGAAATTCTTTGAGAATCAAAAATAAAATTGTAAATACAGTCAAAATAAAAGTAATATCAGTCAAAATTAGAAAATAATATCGAGTTTAAAGTCTGATAATGTAAAAATAGGAACAAAAATATGATACTTTTATTTTGAAATACACAAACGCTTTAGTCAATTATTTCCCTGTCAAAAATGGTTATCATCTCAATAATTATCGCAAACTCAACCTAACGGTCCGAATTAAATTAACCTTATTCCTAAAATATAAATCACAAACCGTTTTCGATAATTAAGTGTTTTTCTTCTACTCATTACAATTTACAAGTCCTTTTCAACGTACTTCCAATACTAACTTTATATATATATATATATATATATATACCTTTTTGTCTTTCATACTACATTATTTATTATTTATAGAGAGAATTTCCTAAATAGGAGTAAAAAAGTTTTGAAATTCCAATATAGGAGTATCATGTTTTTTATTCCTTGAATATGAGTAAATTTCTGTCAAGTTTGGCATTACTAGGCTTTAAAACATGGCATTTTTTTTCAAACTTGGCAGATTAATCCTATTCAGGGAATAAAAAACACGATACTCCTATTTTGGAATTTCAAAACGTTTTTGCTCCTATTTAGAGCAATTTCTATTATTTATACTATTTTTCTCTCTATGAATACCCTAACAATCGACTGAAATAAAACAAAAGTGGAAGTCAAATTGAATCGTCAAAATTTATTCGGAAAGAGTATTACCTCCGTCCCATTTTATGTGTCTCACTTTGATTTGACATGATTATTAATAAAGTAGTTGAAAAGTATTAATTGTGATTGAGTTTTGAGTATAATAAAGTGAAATGGTATAAACCACCTATTTCTTTCCAAAAAAGAAAATGAAACACTTATTTTGGAACAACCCAAAAAAGAAAATAGAACATGCAAAATGGGATAGGTATAGAACTTTTTAGAATGGTACAAAAAGTAAAAAGTCAGAAGATAATTCTATAATAAATCCTACCCGTTTCAGAATTTAGATTTTTTGCTTATTAGTCAGACCAATCATTTTCTTACCGGATAATGTTGAGTTCGAGCATTAAATTGCGTAATAAGAAAATTCACAAAATGTAAAATTGAAATTCAATTTTTTTAGTGCATTTGTTGAAGAAAGTTATTTTAACTACTCGGTATTTCATATGCTACTTTTGTCTATTTTTAATTAGTCATTTTTTACTTTTCTAGTTAACGGTGATAAACTTTGATAAATCATTTTAAGTTGTACAATTTACAATTTATGATAAAATTTGATAAACTTGTGAGACATTTATTTATTCTTTTATGATAGTATTTAATTTCAAAAACAAGCATTTACATATTATAAATACATTCGCCTATAAATATATTATAGATTAAAATGACTAATTAAAAAGAGGCTAAAATAGTATGTATTGTTTTTTATTTTATTTATCAAATACATTTTAAATGTAATTATTTCATAATTCACCAGCTCGGTCAACATTCAAATTTAGTTTTGCCGATTTGTGCATATTAAGCTCATTCAATTCATTTTAGAGTTATCGGGTTCTGAGTGTAAAAGAAACGGCAAGCTAAGAGAGAAGACAGGGCTGCATAATCGCATGTAGGAACCTATGCTAGCTATATAGGTAGGCCGGTAGACTAGCTAGGTGTAGTTAGGTTTAGCGTATTCAATGAAACTTTAGACGAAAAATGTCAATGGCGGAGCTTGTTAATTATCCATTAATGGTATGAATTAATCATGATTTTGTTAATAAACTCTTTTAAACAATTTTTAGCTAGCTAGCTAGCTCAATCTATCATTTAATTAGCCAGCAGCTATATATAATATATGGCTGTTTATTACTACTACTACTACATGTTGAAGGATTTACGCTGGCTTTTTAATTAACTCATGAACTTGCTAAAAAAACAAAACTCATTAGCAGATTAGCTTATATATATATATATATACTCCGTATATATGTCAAAATTGTGTTATAAAACTAGCTAGCTAGGTACGTAGTTAATTATTACCTGAAGATGGCTTTTGACGTGAGAAATCTTTAATCCTTTTACACCCATCAACTGCACAATTCTCTTTGGAGTTGCTTCTGCACAAATATACATAATTAATACCCCTTTTAATTTGTAACGGCGTTACGTTGGAGCTAGATATGGTAATTAAGGAAATAAGTAATCGAACGTACGTACAGACCCTATATATACGTAAATTATTAGCTAGCTACCAACATATATATCATGCATATATATATATATAGTATATGATCGATTTTATTAATTAATTATTCAAGCTAAGGTAAGGTCGAATAAAAACACTAAATTAACGACTACTCACTGTAGCGGCCGCCGAGATGTTCGACGGCGTCGACGAAGTGGTCATGGAGCTCCGGCGTCCACTGCAAACGCGGCACAGCAGATTTCTTGTATTGCCTAACCCCGCTTCTCTCATTATTGATATTAATGATATTATTATCGCTTTTCTTCACCATCATTCCTATCTATCAATCTCGATCTATATCTAAGCAAATACCAAGTATATATATATATAATGATCGATCGATTCGACCCAGGCCGCGAGGGAGTCGGAGATTATGGACTTTTCTTCAGTAATTAGATAGCCTGTGTGGACTTTCGCAACTAATTAACATTCTCCATTTCCGTATATATATATATATATATATATTTATACAGCTAGCTAGCTAGGGAGTATGAGTATATATATACGACGACAAAAGAATAAAAAATAAATTATACGGAAGGTGCATATATATATTTCATTCTATATAGTAGAAACAGAGACGACAACGTTATGCTTCTTCTCTCACGACACTGACCTTCAATTTGACACATGCATTGTTTTTTAATACTAAATGTAACTGGCCGGCCGGAGTAGTTTTTATTTCATTGATTATTTAATTCGTCCCTCGTGGCCGACTAAAGGTTAAGTGTGGGCAAAAATTCAGGTCAAGTTGTATTATTTCAAAGAGAAATTACCCAAAATAAGACAAGAAACGTTCCTATATTTTAAAATAGTACTGTTTTTATTCTCAAAATAAGACTGATTACTGTCATGTTTTTGCAGTACCAGACTTTAAACATGACAATATTTTCCAAACTTGGCATTAATTACTCATATTTTGTGAATAAAAATATGACACTCCTATTTTAGAATTTTCAAACTTTTTTACTCCTATTTCGGGAATTTTCCTTCTTCCAAAATATTTCAAAAACGTCCGCTATTACTATCTTTCTCCCATTCAACATTATTAACTTTGAATCAGGTGAAAAATAAGAAAATTGAAAATTATATTATTGTTGAGGTTCAAGTAGAGAAGAGATAAATGATTGAGTAGAATAATTAACTCTTTATTTTAATGGGAAAATGACATGCAATTTTTTGAGTACAAAAAGTAAAGATATATAGTAAGGTGGATCAAATGATTTTATAGTGAAATGAGTACATATATTAATGATTTTATAAATATGATGCAAAGTCAAATGTCACTCAAAATATGGGGTGCAAAGTTAAATTTCTCCAAAATAATAATGCATGACTATCTAGAAATGCTAGTTTATGATGTTTTCTTTTGGATTGTTTTCTGTCTCAGCTCAGACCAGATTTAAACAATCCAGACCAGATCAGACTTAAACAGATCAGACCAGACCAGACCACACACTTGGACAATTATAAAATACGCAAAGACCGAACCAGTTCAGACCAAATTAGATCAGACTAGACCAACAAATTTCAGTCCAAAAGCAACCATGCTCATATTCCTCTATCATTCTATATACGTAGTATTATATCTATCTCAATTTCTCCTAAATAGATTACAATAATTTCAATACACTATTTCATTGTTTCATTTTTTTTGAAGTTTGTGAGCTAATTTTTTGCGGCAGTAGTGTCTATATTTAATATAATTGAAATTCTGAAGTTTGTAATTGCTTAAAAGATATAGTTATTGTTAGTTACTAATTACTACGTAACTTCTATTGTCTTTACAAACGGTAATTGTTTGACGCATATATAATACTCCCTCTGTTCCTATTATATCTTCCATTTCACTTTGGCACACAAATTAAGAAAAGTGGATATTGTGTGGTGGAGAGTTGTCCAGAGAAGAAAGAAATGTGTAAGAAATGTTGTGAACCACAAATTCTTTACAAAAAATGGAAAGTGGAAATTTAATTGGAACGGATGAAAAAGGTAAGTTGGAGGATATAATAGGAACGGAGGGAGTATACCCAGAGCCGTTTTTTAGGGGGTTCAATAGGTTGTCCAGAACAAGGCCCCCAAATTTAAGGGGTCCCAAAATTTCAAAATTTTATTAGTATTATATAATACTCCGTAATATTATACTACATATATTAATACTGATCAGTAAAACACAGTTAGTGAGGAAGAAAAATATAGATTCACCATTTTTTCCGTTGGTCGTTTTAGTTTTCTTTACTCAAATTGCTTGAATAATGAGTTGTGTTGCTTTAAATCAAATATTAATTCAATTTTAGAAAACTTTTATTACATTATTTAATGAGTATTCAATTAATTTAAGTATATGTATTTGGATTGAAATTTTTTGATACTTTTTTATATTAATGTGGGGCCTCGATTTTACATTTGAAACCGGGGCCTCCGAATTCATTAGACGATCCTAACTCCTAAGTATACCGTAAGTAGAAATGCTAATATGCTGCAATTTTTTAATTTTGTTTGGGCTGCTTGAAAACGTCCCGATGGGCAAAAACTCGTCTCATGCTCTGGCAAATTAAATCGTTTGGTGAGGAACAACTCAAGTCTCAAACTGTGTCCCGGCTAGGGGTGGTTCGGTACGGTATATCGAATATTTTCTCTCATACCTTTGCCGTACCGAAACTTTCGGTATACGAAATTTCTATACCTTTACCTTACCGAAGTTTCGGTATACCGCATTTCGGTATACCGAAGTTTCGGTTCGGTAACGGTACGGTATCGATAAATTACCATGCATGTCTCCCAATACAACAAATTATCATAGACTAACGAAATTTACTAAATCGGTGTTACTAGCGACATATTTAATCCATTATTAAAATGCTACACAATACAATTAATAATCAATTGATATCATATTCAATCTTGACCAATAATTATTATTAGTATATTTAAGCAGTTCAACATGTCACATAGTAAAAAATAATGCATTCTCCTAAAATAACTTGAACAATATAAACATACTTAAATCAATAGTGATCTCTAACATATATAAATAAAATTATTCAAACAACATGGATATAAAATCACTTATTCCTAATATGATAGTGTATTTAGTCATTTTATAATTTAAAAAAATATTTGAATAAGACTTTTGGACAACGTCGTGTGTCTCGACTTGTGGAATCACTATGTCTATTCATCACATAAGTGTATCCTTCTTCACTCGTCAGCTACTCAGCGGCTCAGCTGTCGCGACACGCAAGTTCTTGGAATAAGATGGACTTGTTTCTGGACATTAGTACATTACTCATTAGTCATCATGTTAGTTTGTTTGAATGTTAGTTAGTAGAAGCCTAAAAGGTTATAGTGAGTTTGGGAAATTGGGCCTTTATTTGTGTATTTTGGTATTTGTAAACAACCCAAGTATTAATTCAGGCTTCAAAATTGTAATAGACTTTTACAATATTTTAGAATTAAAAGTAATTGTTTGGTAGGGGAGTCGGTACGGTATTATACCGGTATACCGCGGTATTTGAAAACATTTACCGTTACCGTACCGAAATAAATCGATACGGTGTGATACCGTACCGAAAATGACGGTATACCAATATTCCGGTATTTTCCGATATTTTTCGGTACGGTAAGTGCGGTATACCGATTTTCCGGTATTTTTGCCCACCCCTAGTCCCGGCCTAATATTGGAATGCCTTGGTTCAAAATGTAAAGTGGAAGAATTTGGGATAGATATATGCATTAATTACTTATAGACTTTTTTTGCATATTTACGAATGAAAATGCAAATTTATTTACTAGTATGTATGTATATTAAATCAACAGTTTATTTGGTAGCTAAAATGGGCCCGCATATGCTTATCCTGTTTATAAATAGAAAAAATCAAATACGGAGTGGTAAATTTTGACTGATTTGGGTAAAAAGCAAGTTTAATGCATTTTCTTTCAAAGATTCACCCCAAATATTGATTAGTAACAACATTAAGATGATCATATATATATATTGGGATGGAAGACGAATCTTCGATTTTGTTCTTTCCATTCCACTGCACGTGGAATCCCTACCTTCTAATTTCCAATCTCCCAGCACCATGCGGGCATTTAGGCTCGTACTAGTCAAATCATCCACAAGACCACAATTCGCCAAGCAAAGGGAAAATTACAGTACCACTTGATTATATCAATATTATTTCTTTTGAGGTGTCATGTGTATTAACTTCAGTTAATATATTCAAAAAAATAATTTCAATTTTACTTTTTTTTTATTATTACACAATTCAACACTCGAAAACAAAAGTTACTTGTTTGGTGAAAAAAATAGCTGATAAACCGAAAACCAATGTTCATACGGCCTCTGAGATACTATGAAGTAAAGTTCAATTTTCCCCTTGGAAGAGCAACACCAACTAGCTAATAGAATATTATTAGGAATATTTGTTTCCTAGTATGTCTTGAATTCTTTTTATTATAAATATACAGACCAGGACTCCTATTGAAGTACCTTTTCCAAAATATTCTCACATGGTATCAAGAGTCTAGGGCTAATTCCAATTTTTTTTTCGGCTACCTCTCCTTCTTCCGTCGCCGCAGCCTCCATGGAATCCACCACCCCTGTCTCCATGGAAGAACAGCAATCGCCGCCTCAGACTTTCGGCGCTCCTCCCTCCTCCTTCCTCCGTGGCACCACAGCTAGCCATCGCAGCCTCAGACTTCGGCGTTCCTCCCTCCTCCTTCCTCCGGCGCTGATTTCTCTCAATCGCTGCAGCCAGTGCTGACTTCGCCGGACATCAGCCGAACCCCCTCTCTCTGGACGCCGCCTTCTCCTTACAACCTCTTCACCAGTTTGCCGCCACAGTTTCCCTGGTCCTCGGTTTCAGCAGTCTCTCGACCGGTGCAACCGCATTCTTCTCCATTTTTTGGACCAACTTATGCTGCCACCCCAGACGCCATGCCAGCCTCTATTCCCTTCGACTCTCCTCTCGCTTCGATGGCACAATCAGTCTCCCATGGCATCACTAATGTCAGCCAGATTGTCACCATTAAACTTAAAACTGTTGACGACTATCTCACGTGGCGCACACAATTTGAAGCTTTCCTGGTGTCTCAAGGCCTTTTTGGCATCGTGGATGGCACAATTCAGGTACCTCCCATGTATACGGTGAATTTTAATAATCAGCGAATCGTTAATACCGATTATTATCATTGGCTTCGAGTAGATCAAACAATTCGTTCATGTTTGTTTGTTACTCTTCATCGTGATGTATTAACTGATGTGCATACTATTAAAAATTCATCTCTTATATGGGACCGTTTACAAAATCTATATATGCCCGCTAGCCTACCTCGTGCCATGGAACTTAAGCGTACTCTGAATTCAATCAAAAAGAAAGAAAATCCGTCTATGGAAAATTA